AACCATAACCTCTTGGATTTTCGGTCTCGCTTGATCTGCATGCCCAAAATTTGTTTTGCAGGGCCCAGATCCTTCATTTCAAAGGACTTTGCTAAATCCTTCTTCAGATCACCAATCAACTTCATATCCTGTCCCACTATTAACATATCATCTACATATAACAAAAGGATAATGAATCTATCACCTGGAAATTTCTTAACGAACACACAATGATCTGCATCAGTCTTGGTATATCCATGGCTCGCCATGAACGAGTCAAATTTCTTGTACCACTGTCTTGGAGCTTGTTTCAATCCATACAACCTCTTCTTCAATCTGCAAACCATGTGCTCCTTTCCAGTCTTCTCAAATCCTTCTGGTTACTCCATGTAGATTTCTTCATCTAGGTCTCCATGAAGAAATGAAGTCTGCACATCTAGTTGTTCAAGCTCCAGATCCAAGCTAGCCACCAATCCGAGTACTACTCGAATAGAGCTCATCTTCACAACCGGAGAGAATATCTCATCAAAGTCTATTCCTCGCTTTTGTCCAAATCCTTTCACGACTAAGCGAGCCTTGTACTTCAACAGCTTGTCACCATCTTTCTTAAGCTTGAACACCCATTTATTCTTCAAGGCTTTTCTGCCTTCCGGAAGCTTCACAAGCTCATAAGTTTTATTTTTCATCAGTGAATCCATTTCTTCTTGCATAGCTTTCATCCACTGGGATTTATCCTTATGAGTCTGTACTTCTTCAAAGCTTTGTGGCTCCCCTTCTTCAGTGATGGTAATATACGTGGAACTAAGGCATCTCGTAGATGGTTGGATCGCTCGGTTTGATCTCCTGAGTTGTGGTGGAGCTTCGAGGTCTTCCTTCTCAACACCTTCACCATCACCATCTTCTATTGCTGGCTCATCATCAACCCTGAGTTCTCTATCACACTCTCCCCCTGTTGTGGCATCTCCAGGAGGTTTCACAGGTGAAAAATCCACCTTTCCACTTGGTTCTTTTGTTTCTGGTGAAGTAGAATCAGACATAGTTTCTTGCTCATGGAACACTACATCTCTGCTTCTGATAATTTTTCGATTTTCTGGATCTCATAACCTGTAGCCAAATTTCTCATCTCCATAGCCCAGAAATATACAAGGAATGGCTTTATCGTCAAGTTTTCGTCTCTGTTCCTTGTTTACGTGAGCAAAAGCTTTGCATCCAAACACCTTTAAATGAGAGTATTTAACATCATGTCCGGACCATACTCTCTCAGGGATATCAAAAGCCCAAAGGAACAGATGGAGATCGGTTGATCAGGTAGCACGCCGTTAAAACAGCTTCACCCCAGAATGGCTTAGGTAGCTTAGCCATTCTTAACATACACCTCACTTTCTCCATAATGGTTCTGTTGATTCTTTCAGCCACACCATTATGTTGTGGGGTTACAGGTACAGTCTTCTCATGCCTGATGCCATGCTCGACACAATAATTCTTAAATTCATGGGAAGTATACTCCCCCCATTATCTGAGCGAAGACACTTCAAAGGTTTA